AGGGGCCTGAGTCCCTGTGTCATGGGACCTGGCCATCTCTGGGCTTCACACCCACTTCCCAGGGCCTGGGGGGAGGGGTCCAAGTATTATCATCCACCTCCCACCAGGTAAGCACCAGGGAGAGGCCCAAGCCAGGTGAAGGTGGGACAGAGTGGGCTGTCTCTCTAAGAGCACAGCCAGGCCAACCTTGAGAGGCTGAGGCTGGCCTCCGGGGAGGGGCAGCCCTCAGGAAGCGGTGGCCTTTGGGGAGGGGTACCTTTCTGACCTTCTACTCAGCTCAGTGCCTCCTGATGGCCATGTACCTGCTAAGGTCCTGCCATCTTTACAGTGTTTCTCTCTCCGCTCCCAGGGTGGGCCTTAACATTCTCTGTGGAAGCAAAAGACCCCGGAGCCCCATCTCCCTTCCCAAAGGGCCTTCAGGGATGGGCAGTGGTGTGAGGATGCGAATAGGGCATGCCAGGCATGCCAGACACTGAGGCAGCTTTGCCAGGAAGAGAGGAGGGCTGCCCAGAGGCCTGCCTGTCACAGAGGTTCTCTCTCTCTCTTTCTCCCTCCCTCCCTCTCCCCGCTCTTTTCCTTCTTCTCTCCCTTTCTCCCTCTCTACTCCTCCATTTCCCCCCCTTTCTCCTTTCCTCCCTCCACCCCTTCCTCCCTCCTTCCCTCCCTCTCCCTCTCTCTTTCTCTGGGTGGAAGCCTCTCTCTCAGAGATCTTATCTCAGAGAGTCCTACCAGCATGGAGGGCTGGCCCAGATGTATACCCCTGAGGGCACCCCTGGACCCACACTCTAGGCCAAGAGTCCATGTGCACACTGGAGCACTGTGTCTGGGAGTCTCCATGTGTGTGAGTGCACATTCCCTACCTCCCCACAGTTTGTGACATGCTTCTTTTGGGAAAGGCCATCCTCCTCTCTCCTTCCACTCAACCCTGTTCTCTGAGCCCCCCTTGAGCATCTATGGAGGGTCCAGATCTCCTCTCCAGAGAACTGCACACACCCAGCCCCCAGCCCCGACTTGGGGCTTGGAGACGAGTTCCAGCACTGCGTCCTCCTCGACTTGCCTATGGCCTCAAAAACTCAGTTTTCTTTTTTCTTTTTTATGTTTATTTTTTTTTCAGACAGGGTCTCACTCTATCACCCAGGCTGGAGTGCAGTGGCACGATCATAGCTCACCGCAGCCTCCAACTCCTGGGTTCAAGCGAATCCCCTGCATCAGCCTCCCAAGTAGCTGGGACTACAGGAGCAGGCCACCACATCTGGTTAATTCTTCAATTATTTTTGTAAAGACAGGGTCTGTGTTGCCCAGGCTGGTCTCAAACTCCTGGGCTCAAGCAATCCTCCAACCTCTACCTCCCAGAGGGCTGGGATTACCCACGTGAGCACCTGGTTAGTCAGTTTTCTCTCCTAAGAATTGGGTCTTTGCTTCCTAGGGTCCTCCTGACATCCTGGAATTAGTGATCTTGTCTGACCCTTCCTCTGTTCACCTCTGGAGGCATCTAGAAGGGGAGGGAGTTGCCATAAGGACACACAAGCAAGGGGTGCAGCAGGATGGGAGCCCTGGATGACACCTCCTGCTCAGTCCTCCTGGCCCAGCACCCAGGGAGAGCGGCAGGGCTACAGCACCTCTTCATGCCAATGAAGAGTTAAATCCTAGTGAGGGAGGAAAGGGGGAAGAGGGTCCATAACCCCTCCACCCTGCCTGGCTTCCTCTCCCCCATCAGAAGACTTTTCTGCTGCCAGCGACCTCAAAACGAGACTAGCAGCAGAGCCAAAAGGGGGGGCCTCCTCCCTGGAGAACCTCTGAGTACATGTGGGTCTCAGAATCTGGGGGGCACCACCCCGTCACTCATCCAATGTCCCCCTGCCCCTGCAGGAGCAGCTCACTGGCTCCCCATGTCAGTGCCCCAGCCGGGCAGGAGGACATTCCGGTTTACTGATGGGGGAAACTGAAGCCCAAAGGTGTAGCCTGATTTCCAGGGAGCAGGAAATTGCACCGGGCACCCAGAGCCTGGGTCCAAGGACCAAGTGTCTTTCTCTTTCTCACTAGCGTTACCTGCATGGGTACAGGGGTGCCTGAGGGCTCGCAGGAGGGCTGGGAGGGGTGAGGCCTCCCCCTTCTTCCTGGCTTCTCCTAGAGGACTCTAAGATGCCACAGCCGGGACAAGTGAGGGGGCTCCGTGGCCATGGGGCCTCCCCCCTGCTCCCATCCCTGCCCCTGGAAGCCCCCTGGCTCATTCATCGCATCTGTTCAACGCTGTCCCCTCTACCAAGAACACTCTTCATCCTCCCTTCCTGAAGGAGGTTGCCTCCCATGGGAAGGTTCCCTGTCCCCCTAAACTCTGTCTCAGGAGCAGTGTGTACCCCAGTCCCACGTAGTGGTGAGCTCCCCAGAGCAGAAATGGGGTGCTCCTGCGGGGTGGCTAGAAGCACAGTAGCAGAGAGTGAGTGGCTGGTGGAGAGTGACCTTACGGGGGTCCCTGTGCCTGGTGGTGGGACGGTTGGGTTGCAGGCTGAGAGGAGGGTGGGGAAGGAGCTGGGATCAAGCCCTCCCCCCATGGGATGCTGGACGGGGTCCTCTTCTCATGCAGCTGGCTTGGCCTCGGGCTAAACCCCACAAGGTTTCCACACTGGTGGGAGGTGGCTGTCCTCAGGTGGTGGCTGTCCCTTCCACATTCAGCTAGAGGAAGAATGAAGCCCAAGGATATCCCCTGAGCCCAGCCTCTCAGTGGCCAGCCCGGCCACCCGTGGGTCACATGCAGAACCACAGGGTAGAAAAACCTTGTTTTATTCAGCCTGGGCCTGGGCAACCTTGCACTGCGGTGTGGCCAAAATATAAAAAATAAAAACCAGTGACCGACACAACACGGCTGGAGAGAAGAGTTAGGAACAGAGGGGGGCCGGCATCCGGAATCCCTTGGTCGGGTCCACGGTCGCTCCCTGAGGCCGGCAGGGAGGGACGCCCCTGCCTGTGGGCTGCGGGGCTGGGCCCCTTGGCAGAGGCTGCCCATAGCAGGGCCTGCTTTGGAAGGGAGAGATTGGCCGTCTGTCCTGCTCGGAGATCAGGATCTGAGGAAAGAGAGAGAGAGAATCAATGGAGGCTTGAGAGGTGGGGCCCCCGGCCTACCCAACCCAGGCCCTCGCAGGAGGCCAGGGATGGCCTCTATTTTCCTGGGGAGTTCAGGCTCTGGGGGGGGGCGACCCCTCAGCCTACCTCCAGAAGAAAGGGGTCCGAGGTCTCCCCCTGCCCAAGGCACATCTCAGCATGCCCCCGAGTCCTAGTCCCAGACTGTTTCCTAGGTGGTTTACAGAGCTGCTACCATCTGGAAATTCTTTCTTGTTTTTTCTAACTCGGTACTTTTATTTGAAAAAAGCCTCGCTTTTTCCTCTTCAGAAACACGATGGAAACCCACAGGCGTCAGTCCCGTGGCCTTTCTGGGAATGCTCCGTCCGGCTTCCTGTGCACGCTGGCCCAGTCGCCCGCCTGCGGTCAGGGTCACAGAGACGCAGACGCTCTAATAAGACCCGGCCTTTCCAAACACTTATGTAAAGAGCTCTCGGAAGGAAGGGCCTTGGCCTTCCCTGAGCCCACAGGCCCCAGGGGAGCCAGAGGGAGGCTGGGCTGGGCTGCTCTGTGCCTGCCCGGCTGGAGGCTCCCAGCTGCCTGGGTCCTGGCTGCTGCTTCCACCCCCTTCTCCAGCACGAGCTCCCTGCCTCCCTCAGTCCCCCGTGGCCTCCTTTGTTTCCTGACTGCCCCTTCCTTCCCCCTTCTCCTCCTCTGCTGCTTAGGGAAACCTTTTCTGAGTTGGGGTCTCACTCTACTGCCCAGGTTGGAGTGCAGGGGCAGGATCAGAGTTCACTGCAGCCTCGACCTCTTAGGCTCAGGCCATCCCTCTGCCTCAGCCTCCAGAGTAGCAGGGACTACAGGTGTGTACCACCACGCCTGGCTAATTTTTGATAGCCCTGGCCCTAGTCATTCACTGAGCCCCAACTCTAGTCACACACTGAGCCCTGGTTCTAGTCACCCACTGAGTCCTGACCTAGTCACACACAGCCCCGACTGCAGTCACAGGCTCCATCTCCCCTTCCTGCCATCTACTAAGCATATACTTTTGGGGACAGATGCCTCGCCAGGCCTTGGGATCTCTGGCACGTTCCTTCTGGTCGACTGATTTAAGCTTAAAGCTCTAGAACTCTTCTTTTCTCTCTCTCTTTTTTTTAATTGGAAAAGAGTTGATCTGATTTGACCAAACATTTGAAGTTCACAGGGAGCGGGGTAGGGTTTGTTTTTGAGCTTGTCAGCACGGGTCTCTCGGCAAATGACCTGAGATCAGTCTCTCATGTCGGAGATCAGGAGAGACTGAGGAAGGCCAGCCCAGGACAGCAGATGCTGAGGATCCTGTCTGGCCACCATGAGCCAAAAGCCTGAACCACAGTTTTTATGAATGCCCTCCATCACAGGGACCTGGGGACTGATGACAGCTCATTACAACCAGAATCCCTCCTAACCGGGGACTGTCTAATCCAGTCCACTTGATAAGGACACTAATGCCCCAGCTGCTGCTCCCTGGGCAACACTGCGTGCTGGGGTCTTGACTGTGCAGGCCTCGGGCCTACAGACCTGCATCCCAAGCCTATGTGGCATCCCAAGCCTATTTCATAGTTGAGAAGGTAGCCCAGAGAGGTGAGGTGAATTACCCAATATCACAGAGCAAGGAAGCCAGAGAACTAGGACTACTGAGCCATGACATGTTCCAAGCAACACTGCCTTCTGCCGGTTTCCCCTTGGGACATCTTAGAGAGCCCCGGGATCAGGCCCCAGATCAAGACCCTTCAGCCTGAGCCCCCTCCCCACCATGAGCACCAGTTTGGCGCTGGCACCCACAAAGTTCTTTCAGCTGTGTTTGGCCACGAGGACGCCCTGAAGTGCAGGTGTCTTAGGTATTTCAGGGCCTGTGCCTGCTCCCAGGCAGGAAACGGACCAGGGTAGGAGGTGGGAAAAAGCACTTACTGGACAATTTTGCAGTTTGTTGTGGAAACGTAGCGGCCTGTGTAGTGAATGTTGCATCTCACAACATTGTTGGTGAAGTCAGACTCCAAGACAATGTACTTGGGGTTCACATGCACCTGGGGAAGAAGCAGACAGAGAGAAGGGGACCAGCTGGGGCGGGGGCTGCTGCACTGCACCTGGAACCCAGGAAAGGCAGTAGAGAGGCAGACAGACAGACACAGGTGGTGGGTGAGGCAGACACAGAAGTGGAGAAAGGCCATTTGAGACCAGGAGACACGGGGACAGAGGCACACCCCCAGAGACACAGGGGAGGGAGGAGGTGGGTGTCCCAGAAAACATTACCCCTTATAAGAAGGTCAGAAGCTTCCTCAGAGCCAGAGCCTGTGCCAGGAGGCCTGGTATAGGCACTCCGGGCCTGAGAGGGCAGGTCCAGCCCTAGGGAATGCAGTGAGGAGGTGCTGAACAGGGATTTGAGCCTGGCCCACCCACTCCGAGGCTCATAGAGCTCACCAGGCAGCCCTGTCTGGTGCCAGGTGGCATCCCCTCCTCTCCTGAGATGATGGCCCACGCCTAACCTGTGCTTTTTGTCTGAAAACGAGCTACTGGAACACACATTTTTTTTTTTGAGACAGGGTTTCACTCTGTTGCCCAGGTTGGAGTGCAGTGACCCGACCATGGCTCACCACAGCCTCTATCTCCTGGGCTCAGGTAATCCTTCTGCCTCAGCCTCCCAAGTAACTGGGACTATAGGCACACACCACCATGCCTGGCTAATTTTGTTTTATTTTATTTTGGTAGAAACGAGGTCTTGCTATGTTGCTCAGGTTGGTCTCCAACTCCTGGGCTCCAGTGATCCTCCCATCTTGACCTCCCAAAGTGCAGGTATGAGCCACCGTGCCCGGTCAACACAACACTTTTAACTATTAGATCGACTGGGATAGAGCCAGTTGTATATGATGAAGATTCCAGAACAGATGCAATGGCGTTCTTTCAAATCCTCATGCCCTCCTGAAGGGGAGGAACTGTATGTTGCTTACGTGGCTTGTGTGCCGGTGCCTAGAGCCCAGAGGGGCCTTTCTACGTGTTTGATGAGTGGGTGAAGGAGGGAAGGTGGATACACTGGACAGCCCCAGGCCCCCCTAAGGACTGCACGCAAGAGCCAGCTGAGAGCTCAGTGTGGGACTGCCTCTGGTGATCAGCGTCTCTCTGCAGGGAAGGCAACCCCTGCAGGCCCGATGTCATGCTTGTCCTCTTCTGAGCGTTTGCGTGGAGGGGTCCAAGCTAACTGGTCGAGTGATTCCCCTACTTTGCACCTGCATGGTAGAGGCTGAGCCTGGCATCCCCAGTGAGGCCATGATGACATGGCCTGCACGGACGCACTCAGGCTATGTGTTGTCAGCACGTGCTTCTATTGTCCCCCCACTCTCCCACCAAGGGAAGGGGCAATGGCGTGAGCGTGCACTGAAGCAGGAGGGGTGGAACGGACTCCTGGTCATGCAGCCCTCAGCTATGCAGGAGGACCTGAGAGCTTTCCTCGCTCTCCCGGATGGTACACGGTCGGCTCTGCCCACAGATCGGGGAGGGACCACATGGCCCTCTGAGTCCTCCCTGCTTGCTGGTCCTCTGTCAGTTAGGGAGACAGTGTCACCATCTCCTCCGGCCAGAGGGCCCTTGGGATCTCCATGGAAAGAGGCCTACATCTACCCAAGACCTGAGCCTTCTGACGGGAAACCTCCAGCCATGCTGAGGCTGCCTCGCTCTGTGGGGCACTGGGAGAAGGGAACACGCCCAGAGGTGGAAGCTTCTTTCAGGAGCGGGAAGACACTGGGGGACGCTGGGCCAGGAGCCCACCTTGAGGATGTAGTTCCCTGGCTGCACGTCGGTGATGTCGATCCACTGGCAGTCGATGTCGGCATTGTAGGTGTCATAGCAGCCTGGGCTCAAGCCCTGGGAAGGGACAAGACAGGGGAGGTGTTGCTGGCACCACAGGGCCACCGGTGCCCATCCTCAGCATGCTGGGGCCCTGCTTCTTCTGGCTTCACCCCTAGCCCTGGCCTGGGGTGGCTGCTCGGTGGGTCCTAAGGTCACAGATGGATGGACTGAATGGAAACGAGAGAGATGATGGGAGACAGAGATGGGAGGAATACCTGGGAAAGACAGAGGAAGGGATGGATAGAGACAGGACAGACGGGACAGCGTGGGTGGGTGGAAGGATGGATTTGGGTGGACATGGGCAGAAGGGGCCTGATGTGACACTGTTCCCCCCTCCCCATGCGCAGATACCCCCAAAAGAAGGCAGGAAGGGGCCTGGTTGTGGGGGGCGCCACAGGGCCCTGAGGGTTGGTGAGAAGACCTTCATGCTGTCAGGAGCTGGGTGGCAATGGCCTTGGCCCTGCTTGTCCTCAGCCTGCCTCAGAGGGCATGGCCCCAGCCCAGCCACCCGACCCCTGCTGCTCCCTCAGTCCACCTGCGTGTGGGAGGTGCACGCGTAGCGCTTGAGGTTGCCGAAGTCACAGGTGCTGTCCTCCAGGCAGAAGCTGGCCTTGTGGCCCTCGGCCACCTTCTTGCCCGTGGCTGCATCCAGCAGGTCATAGTGGCTGAACTCATCCATGCTGTGGTAGTGTCTGGGGAGGGGGAGAGAGAAGAGAGCCTGGGTCCCCCAGCCAGTCCTGTCTCCACCCCAGGATGGGCCCAGGTGACCTCACTGTCACCCGCTATGGACTCTTCTGTCCCTGAGCCCCACAGGGTGACATCTCCATGGTGGCATCTCTGCTCTCCCCCTGCCCAGCCAGGGCACCCCAGGAGAGCACCTCCTCGGGGCTCCTCACGTCCTCAGTGGGCTCCCACCAGCACTGGTCTTTCTTGGGCAGAGGTTTCCCTCCCTCAAGACCAATCCTTCCGGGTCCCATCATGCAGCCCAACTTTTGCCAAGGCTCCTTGGAGAAGCCCTTGCCTCAGGGAGGGGCCCTTGACAGGTGACGCCCTCCCCCACCTCCGGGGCTTCCAACCATCACCCGCATCTCGGAGAGGGAGCTTAGTGGAGAAGGGAGCTCGGGCGCCCAGGTCTCTGGTCCAGAGGGGAAGTGGGGAAGGCCGAGACCAGCCCGAGCCACTCACTGGTGGCAGCTATGCCACTCCCAGGTGTGCCGCGGCCTGTTGGGGAGGAAGTCTGCTGTGCCCTGGTTCTTCACACGCTGGGGGAAGCGCAGCAGGACACGCACGTCATAGTCGGTGGCCTCAGGGGCATAGGCTGTGCTGCGGGACGGGGGAGAGCAGACGGGGGCTGGAGCACCGTGGCACCAAAGCCTGGCCGTGCCCATGTCCCCTGGCCCCTGGCCTTCAACCCCCGCCCCCTGTCCCTCACTCCTGACCCCAAGAGGGCCTGGCTGTCCCCTCCTTTCTGGCCTCTACTGTGCAGCCGCCAGAGCCAACCGAGTCTAAAGTGACACGTCAGGACTGGCAACAGCCCTCGAGGGTCCCTGAGGTCCTCAGCTGGGGACAACCCCTGGGGGCAGTGCCATATAAACCTCTCTGAGGGGACATTTAAAAACAGCTCCATCCAGGAGATCCCGACAACTTTGCCCCCTCAGATGGAGCCCTGCATGTCTGGATATGCCATATCGGGTGTGGGCTGGAAATCATCAGGCTTGGGCTCCTCGGGCCAAAGCCACTTGACTTTCTTGGTTCCAGCTGCCCTTTTGTCCTCTCTTCCCCCACACCCTGGGATACTGTTTTAAAGTCTGTTTTCCAAACAGAACGGACTAAACTCCTTCCCTAATCCATACTTTTGCCCGTGCCGGTCGCTTGACCCAGAACTCCAAATCACATCCAGTCTCTCAGGCTCAGTTTAAGTTCCCTCTTCCAGGAAGTCTGCCCTGATGGCTCCACTTCAAGGCTCCTGACAGCCTGTGAGCTCTAACAGCACTGGCTGCAGCACAGTCTGAAACCACCTGTGCCCTGTGATGGACTGAGTGTGACCAGGCCACCTCTCCTTGACCACATGGCTTTGGAGCTAGTGAGCTGTCCTTTTCCATTTAGGTAGCATGGGTCTGGTGCAGATGAACAAGAGGCAGGGAAGTGCCCCTAAGGCCAGCAGGACAGCTGTCTGCAGTCAGCAGAAATGGGGAGGAGCCTGTAACTCCTCCAGCAATGGGGTCTTGCTACATTGTCCAGCTGGTCTCAAACTTCTGGCCTCAAGTGATCCTCCCAGTTTAGCCACCCAAAGCACTGGGATTACAGGCATGAGTGCTCACAAGTCACTTGGGACCCAAATTCCCAAGTGGGGCAGGCCTTGTGGGAAGGGAAGGGCAGATAGAGAAATGGGGGGGACAGCAAGGGGAGAAAAACACACACTGGTGCACACATGTGCATGCATGTGTGCACACACGTGCACACAAGGGCACACACGTGCACACAAGGGCACACATGCACACATGTGCACGCACACACATGAAGAGGTGGTAGGAGCAGGAAACCTGGCTGCAGGCTCCTCCCCTCTTTAGCTGACCGTGGGCAGCTGTCCTACCGGCCTCAGGGGCACGTCCCTGCTTCTTGTTAAGGTCTGGGTCCCAGGGCCAGAGGCAAGCGGTGGCCGTCGCAGGATTAGCGCTTGCTCTGAGAGTATGTCTGGACGGCAGGCGGCTGCAGCCCTGTCTGCCAGGACGCGAGGCCCCAAGCCTTGTCTGGGGGAAGCCTGGAATCTGTCTGTGTCTGGGTTGAAACAAAACATCCTCCTCCCCTGTTCAGCTCAACCCTGCCCTTCTGCTAGGCTCAGCACACCGTGGGAAACCATCAGGGTCTGGGTTCTAAGCCTTGCTTGGCTGGAACCACGGCGGGACTTGGAGATGGGCCCTCCCCTGCTCTGGGCTCTGCCTGCGGCGTGTGAACTGGCACCAGCCGTGACCCTCCTGCTTCAGGCCTCTGCTTCTGCAGGTCCTCTGGATCTGGACTCTCATGCTCAACCTCCTCTGAGGTCTCTGCCCCTGCCAACCTCTCCCTCCTCTGACCTGCCACAGCCGGGGCCTGTGTACCAACATTCTGGCGTTGGTCCCACTCCTGGGTTTGGTTCTGTCATTGGGACACAGGCGAAGTCCTCTCTCTCCAGCTGGATCAGGAGATCCTCCAGGAGGGAGGACAGCTGCCTTCTCCTGACCCTACCTGGGAGCTTAGGTCTGGGCACTTGGGACACCCGAGAAGAGGCAGTGACTCTTTGGCTTTGACAAAAATTCCTCAAGACTGGCCGGGCGGTCTGAGGCTGTGAGTCCTCATGGCTGGAGGAACCACAGCAGGGACACTGTGTTTCTCGAGGACAGCTGAGACCAGATAGGACCTGCAGGGCAGGATGACTGAGGAGCACTGAGGGCAGCACAACTGTCAGGCTGTGATGAGATCGGGAACTTGAAACAGCATCTAAAAGAGCAACATCATTAATCACTGTGCTTAGTTCAGCTGACACTTTAAAAAAAAATAGAGACAGGGTCTCTCACTCCGTCACCCAGTCTGGAGTGCAGTGGTGTGATCATAGTTGAGGTCAACTCCTGACCTCAAGTGATCCTCCCATCTCAGCCTCTCAAGTAGCTGGGATTACAGGTGTATACCACCACGCCTGGCTAAATTTTGAAATGTTTTGTGGAGACAGGGGTCTTGATACATTGCCCAGGCTGGTCTTGAACTCCTAGCCTCAAGTGATCCACCCAGGTCTGTGACCCAAAGCACTGGGATCATAGGCATGAATCACTGTGCTCAGCCCGCACTTTTTTTTTTTAAGCAAGACTTTCTCAATGAAGGAAGTGATGAGTTGAGTTAAAATCTGGGGCAAGTTCCTTCTTACAGACAGGTAGCAGTTTATGGTCAGCTACTCTGAGTGGTGGTGAATTAGAGTTCTTGAAAAGAGAAAACAGTTTAGGAACCCCGAATGTCACAAAAGCAAGTCATGAAGAAAAATCGGTGGTTTCAACAAAAAATATCAACAAAATAGGCAGATTGACACTTTTTTTTTTGAGTAGAGGTCTCACTCTGTCACCCAGTGGCACAATCAGGGCTCACCCCCACCTTGACCTCTTGGGCTCAAGCAATCCTTCCTCGTCAGCCTGCTGGGACTCCAGGTGTGCACCACCGCCCTTGGCTAATTTTTTAAAAAATTGTTTTTGTAGAGAGGAGGTTTCACTGTGTTGCCCAGGCTGGTCTCGAAATCCTGGGCTCAAGTCATCCTTTTGCCTTGATCTCCCAAAATGCTGAGCCACCAAGCCCAGCCGATATAAGTTTAACTAGTTCTTTTAGCACAAGGAGGTGCCCCCAAGGCATACAGGTCTGAGCAGAATGTGAACTGCTAATCAGTTAGAAGCCAACTCTGCAGAGGCATGGTCCCCTGCAGATAATGGAGAGTTGCCGTGCTCTGCCTCTGGGTTCACATACATGGGTCTCCTTCCCCTCTCCAGCACAACACGTAACTGAGGCCTCCTGCCACCTGTGCCCATTGCCCCTGCTGTGATCAGGCAGATACAGCCCAAGTCAGCCAAAGTCACACCTGTCCTCTGTGGACATGGCTCTGCCATTCTGGTTTCTGTCCTGCCGGCCTGTCCACCCCATGGGACTTCCCCAGATCTTTGGGGGAATGCAGGACTCCAGGGCTCACCTGAGGAAGCTTCACCTGGGGTGGTTCATATCTGAAAGGCTTCAGTTCCCTTAACAGCTCCCCCATTTTCTGATGGGCACCCCCCCCACCAGGGCTCGTGTGAAGGCCGGTTGCCGCAATGCATGTGAACTTCCTCGTGTGGACATAGGTCCACAGACGTGGGGTGTGGCCCCCACACCCTGCCTCCTGACTCCCTCGGGGCAGGCAAGGAGCCCGGATGGAGAGGTCAGAGTCTTGAGTGGTTCAGGACCAGCCAGGGCCATCAGCTTGCAGGCAGCCTGGCTGGCAGGAGCGCCAGTTCTGGACGGCTCCCAAGGACCAGCCTGACGCCTTCCGCCTCCACCCCAGCCCCTTACCTGGCCAGACACTTCTCCTCCGCAGCGCAGCGCAGGGAGTACAGGTGGGCTCTCTGCACGTAAGTGGATGCTTGCACGTAGTTGGGGTCTGGGACCAAGTCAGGGAGACCTGGGGTGGGTGGGGAGAGGAAGGAGGGAGGGAGAGCCGGACACAGAGAGGATCAGGTTGGCTGCTGCAGATGCCGAGAGACTGCTACCCGCCCCAAACGCCCTTCCCTGTTCTTCTGGGGCGTTGGGTCCCAGGTGCAAGTGGAGGGGGGCGGTCAGGGGAGGGAGGCAGCAGGAGCTCAGCCCTGGGGCTTCAGTATGTGGAAGCCGCCAGGGCCTCCTGGAGGAGCTGGGCTGTGAGCAAGGTCTGGGAGCCAGGGTGGAACTTAGAGAGCAGGAAAGGGTGTTCTTGGCAGGGGGACAGCCTGCACAGAGGCCTGGAGGCAGGACGAAGCGAACCAAGTCATTTCCTGATGTAGACACCTCCTCTGTGTGCTCACTCCCGGGGCCTCTCATCCCCAGTCCCCAGACACCCTGCCCCACTCACCCCTGCTAAGAGAGCCCTGGGCTTCTGGCCCGGAGTGGGTGTCCAAAGGCTCCTGGGCAGAGCCAGGTGGACGCCGGCTGGCAGGAGCGAGTGGGCAGGAAGGAAAGGTTTGGAAGGAAAACACTTCCCCAGAGCCGGCTGCTGACTGGGCAGGTTTCTCAGCCCGGGCGCCCGGCCCGACCTTCTCAGGATTCCTTCTTCCTGGCACGGCCCCTCCTGCCCCCACCCGTCACCTGCCACCACTTCCTGCCATCGAGGTCCCCTCCCCCAGACCTGACCACATCCTCTGCCATCTGCAACCTCTGGCCTCCAACCTGAGGGAGGCTGTGGATGACTCCATGGCAAGGTACAGGGCCCAGAGACACCGTCCAGCCCTTGTGACCACTTGTCCCCCAGGAGATGCCAGAGCCCAGGGTCTGTTCCTCCTGCTTCTGCCCCCTTGCCCGCTCCCTGGGCATGTACGAGGCTAAGTAAAGGGTATAATAGGTACAAGCGGAAACCAGATTCAGGCGTCCAGACCCGTCCCGTGCTGGCATAAAGAAAGACTCATCCTCATGGTGAATGGGGGTCTGAGTGGGGTGGGCGTGAGTGGGGGGAAGTCCAGAGCAGGGGTTCCATCCCAGCTCAGTCACCCACTTAATGGGGAGCATGCCTAGGGCCTCTAAGCCCCTCTGTCTTCTGGTCTCAGGGATTCTATCCGGTGCATGATGCCAGGCCGCTGAACATTCCTCTGAGCTTCTTTTAAGCCTTCTGCTCGTGGGGGAGTGGGGAGGGGGGGCAGGCAAGACGGGAGACTTGAGTCACATGGAGGGACTTCCTGCCCCACTTCCTGTAGCCAAGACCCTCTCATCAGCTCTTAGGTCCAGGAGGTGAGGTGAAGTCTGGCTCCTCAGCCTTTGACAGAAGTGTCTGCAGCACATCCACCCAACCCCTGGGCTCCCAGCCCGTGGCTCTGCACCCCCAGGGGCTTGGGCCTCAACAGGGAGCTGGGTCCAGGCAGCCAGGGCGATGTCACCTACTTGGAATGGACAGAAGTATGGAGTACGGGGGTGGGTGAGGATGAGGTGGTTCCTGGCTGGGGGGGACTTCTTGGCCAGCCCAGGTCCTATTACTCGAGCCCCCAGGAATGTCTGCAGTCATTCCCCAAGGGACCTGAGGCCCTCAAGCCAGCCTGGAGGCAGTTCTCACCCTCTGGTCCCCAGAAGGCTCTAGGGGAGGTTGAGGACAAGAGGAATAGCCCCTTCCCCATCAGCAAGGGCCTGGGGCTCACGGGGTGTGAGTAGGGAGGCTGGGCCTGCAGCCTTGTGGGACGCAGTGTTTGGTATCAGACAGCTGCCACCCCCACCCCAGGCCGGGTTTAATAAATACCACACAGATGGCTCTGCAAAGTCTTTCTGGCCAGACCCTTCCTCTCCAGGCCATTTCGTGAGCTGGCCATGCAACCCAGGAGGCTGGGAGCCAGTGGGGTAAGAGGCCGGGTGGGCAGAGGCTGGGCTCCTGGGTTCTGACTGAGCCTTGACCATGGTCACAGACTGAGCCTCGACCCTGGTCACACACTGAGCCCTGATCCTGGTCATACACTGAGTCCCAACCCTGGCCACACACTGAGCCCTGACCCTGGTCTCACACAGTCTTGCCTGATCACACACAGTCTTGTTTGGTCACACACAGGCCTGATACCTATTAACAATTCTGAATCTTGGTCTCCTTGCTGTTTGTCCCTAGATGATGGGCTAAAGCTCTATTTTTTTTTTTTTTTTTTTTT